GCCCAAACAAGAGAAGAAATAATCTCGAAAATGTTCAGCAAAAAGCCGGGACCATTTCGATGACCCTAGCTGCGTGCCACCGTCAACGCCGTCCATCGTCGTCTTTGGGGTTGGGTGAAAGCAGAAAGCAACAGATCGTACAGTTTTGATAAGAAATTTGTGCTAAACCCTTTAATGAAAATGGTTTGCTCTATTGGCTTTTTATTGGTTTTCTGCGATGTGATTTCTGTGTAATCATAATTTTGGCCCACCCTGTACACTTCGCTCCAACGTTTCACAGCCTGAGGCAGCACAATCAGAGATGAACCTCGGTCTGGTTGATTGATTGGGTTATCATGAAACATCTTTATTAGTATGCCCATACAAGTGAGAGAATCTTTTTATAATATATCTATGAAAGCTTCCCGCAAATTCAGTGGGTTATTGTGAAATTTCAGATACTTGGTGGATTTTTATTACTTACACCCACATAATATCTTCTGGCCGAAAAATTGTTACCATTCTGTCTCCTTCAGGTAACCATGCTACGATCGTTCCACTGGCATGTGTAATTGTCGGAAGGAAAATCTGTATAATATTTTACACGTACACAAAAACAACACACTTTATAACAAGTATAGATCTCCGCGGTCTCACAGGAAAAACAAAGCTAGTTAAAATTTGATGATTATTCATAATTCCAATGAAAAGATCCTTTTGCACCCTGGTTAAGGTCCACAAAAACATCTTGGATAGTAGGTTTCCCCATAGGTGTCCACGCTGACCTTAATCCTTGCCAATTTTGTACGAGGTTAATGATGGTTGGTCTAATGAATTTGGCAAGAATTAAGATCGACAAGAACAACGAAAAAGTTCTCTTGTGACTAGAGAAATCCACACCCATACGCCTCAGGAAATCTACCTATCTAATCTACTTGTAATTCCTACAAGTTCACAAAATCCCTTTCCTAAACCACTGTTTTTGAATTGTCAGTGCCTGCAATACTGTAAGTAGTGAACTAGTGAAAACAGGTGAGGATACCCATTTTGAGAAGGTTCACCATCAGACACGCCACTGACTGCTTTCATAGTTCACGATTTGGCCCGCGAGCGAGCGATCGAGCGATTGGGACGGCGCTTGGCCCCTATTTACTACTAAATCTTGGTCGATACCGCGGGCAAGCGCCGCCCCAGTCCGATGGCTCCCTCGCGGGCCAAATCGTGGACTATGAAAGCAGCCAGTAGAGCTTTGCTAGTTTCTGTAGATCCTCCATGAGTACACCCCACTCTAGGTCGAATCTTCAGATTATGCAACGCGTCAAGCAAGCCTATAGAGTACTGCACTATATGCTCAACGGCATAAGGCCCCAATAGGGAATTGAATCATATTCCCAGGTGTTAATAAGTATGTGAATATATTACATGTGAATTGTTGAGCAATAATTGTAAGGAAGCGTAACACAATGTAGTAGGACATGATGTGAGTATTGGGAAAACAGAATAGTACAAACGAGATCACAGAACAGGCTCTATCGCCTATACTGAAGTATTTCTGGCTTAGAATGAGGTATAGATGGTTTCCCATGAATCTCCTCCGCTCTTCGTAAAAATGCTCCCACCATCGTTTTAACAACTGAAAAGACAACTTAAACTTACAATTACACATATACTTTACAAATGCTGTTGCGAACGTCGCCGAGCCAATGTGAAAGAGTGGCATGTAGCTCCGCCATGGCGATTCGTAGTGGCTAATTGCAGGTTCAATGAAAAATGATCTAATCCCGGGCAGGGTGTCACAAGCCACTCTTCACCAAAGCCACCCTATGTGACTTTTCAGTGAAACATAGACCTAAACGGTTGGGCGTTTGAACGTCAAATGCTTTTTTAGAAGCGCATCAACTCTTGAGTGGAATAGCTGCCTTTATCTGAAGGGGACTGATCAACACCAAGCCATGTTCCATTCCCAACCTACGTAAAAGCGATTGGCAGTTGAAGGTAGGGATTAAAACAATGATAGTATACGCCTGCATGCTGCGCGATCGCCGACGGACGAAGGCGACAAGCGTTATTCTGGGCCGACACCCGAGTTCCTTTCTCCTTTATCACTTAAGAATCGTCCCAGTCGCTATCATCATTATCTTGTTTCTGGCTCATCCAGGGCCATGTATGAAGGCATTAAGCTAGTTGGCGTAGCAACTATGAAATTTCGAACATGTAAGAAATAAGAAGAAGCTAATCAGTGGAAAATAAAAGAGTATCTAAAATGAAACAATACCTTTATCAAAGAATAAGTATGCCATTTGAGAATGCAGTCGCGACTTGAATTCGAAGACCAAGTCGTAGTGCAGTATGCAGGAAAAATTATCGTTTTTCGCAAATTTGAATGACGTTTCCAACGTGTTGAATATAGACTCGCCAATAACAACAGACTGAAAAAGCGAAAAGAAGTTGATTCTAAAACTGAGTTTCATTTAAGTGCTATAGTTGCATATCGTAGCTACTTAATTTTCGTTATAGCGGAAGCAAGGGCTCTCCCAACTCTTGTTGAGTCAAATTACCGAAAGTTACCCTCCGAAAAGTGGGCACCAATACTCAGACGACTGAAAGGATTGGACCTATAATAAAAAACCCCACTCCCTGTTGCAACATAAAACCGTATACCATATGAGGTCCCAACGCACAGGCATAGCTCGAAACTAAAGAAAGGAAGCGGAGGAGGCATTGTCTGATGATTAAGCAGTCGATTGCGATGAAGAAAGGTTACGGACGATAGATACGACAAATGATAAAGGCGTTGGAGTTGTCGAAAAACTATTGCCACGTCTTCTTGCTCTCAGCCGTTTGCGATACCTTGCCGGTGGAACTACGGCACGCGTACGCTAGCCCCCCCTTGGAATCGGCCCAACAGCAAAGACTACAATGATAAAACTTATTGGTATGTGTATATAACGCCCCAACCCCCCCCACCTATGGTAATAAATCATTGCTGTTCCCATCCTTCTCCTCGTTCCTCCGTCTCTACTGCAACTGATGCAGCGAACCAAGGAGGGCTTATGAGCCAATCGAAGATTACATTGTCTGTGAGAGCAAGACCCACTTAATACACAACGCAGCTCCGGCACCGAGCCGTTTTACCATACTATGAATGCTATCTGACCGCCAAGGAATTTTTCATCGACCAACAATTGGACTTACTACATCTGTGGGCAGCTGATGGGATCTCCTTGCAGTAGAGCTAGAACTGGAAATCGGGCAATAAGCAGGATACCAGCAGGCACTTAAGAAGAGCATCAGTTTCACAAAAACAGCAATCGAACTAGAGGTGGTCAAAGTAGAAGTTCTACTGAAAAAATAGGCCGTGCCTGGAGGGTAGCGATAGCTACGGTAGAACGCAGACGCACCAGCGACAACGGAAGTTCTTCGAAAAGTGTATGCACACGAAACAGGCCATACTTTAAAAAAAGATGAGGTTTCTGAACAAATCCGTTGTCATATCTTCACCGTGAAAAGTTGAAATGAGGCTCGATCTAAGCGATTGCCAAATACATGAAGGAAGATTCGAGAATGGGAAATTCCTTGAAAAGTGGAAACTGTTCATTCCAGGACATCGACGACTCGTTAAACGAATATTCTCCTTTCTCCACTTTTCCAATAATATTGCCATTCTGAACCTCCAACTGCATTTGGCAATTGAGATTGGATCACGTTCCATTTCAACATTTCATCAACGAAGAAATGGCAACGGATTTCTAAATGCACTTCAAGGAAAAGCCAAAGAATTTGTCAAACACTTCAGGTATCGGGAAGTGGCAACAATTATAGCGCTGATGAAGGATATTGTAAGTGCTTGGTTGAAAACGGATGATGACAGCAGTTGGCATCAACAATGATAATCACTGATAAAGGCCACTAGCACATAACCTGGAATCGGCCTGCTGAGAGGATGAAGCGAGCACCCGCGTATTTTGGGCATTCGCCGCTGTCTCCACGGTGAACAGCTTTTCATCGGAGAAGATGGTCCGCGCAAGCATGGCCCGTCATTTGGCGGGCCGGACGGCCTTATTCTTCTCCTTAGAGCCATGGCATCTTGTAAGGGCAGAGCCTAAGGTGGTCGTGTGCTGACCTTCCGATAGCTTGTCGCGAGTTCTTGAGCTCTTTGGCCATTTTTCGCATGCTGCGACGAGGATACCTGTCGATGCGCTTCTTGACGGCCCTCCGCTCCGCAGAAGCCGTTGCGGTGCGTGGCCTTTCGGATCGAGGACGGTCGGCAGTCGTACCAGCCTTATAGTACCTCTTGAAAGTCCTATAGATGGTTCGACGGCAGATGGAAGGCTTCTTGGAAATGGGGGATGGGGTGTCGCTAGCGTCGTGTAAGTGCTCAATGCGTCACTTATAAAGATTAGCGCGTACCATCTTGGACTCAGTATTTTGATGAAATCCAGTGATACTGATGAAATTATATCACTTTCCAATAATAACACATCAGATTCGCAGAATATCGAGTTCAACGGGTAATGCTACAAAATTTGTAACATTTTTGAAATTTTTCGAACATGAAAAAAAAATCGAACGAAGTTTTGTAACAATAGTTTTGGGCAACCATGTATTATGATCAAAAGCGTCGAGTGCTCGAGTTATAAGGAGATATCATGTTATTTCTTTATTCTTGTACCTTCCTTCTTGAAATGTTCAAAATGCACGATTAACTTGGCGTACTCACCTATCAGTCATGAGTAGTAAAATGATCCCAATAATAGAATTTCTGAAAGACGTTCCAACTTTGGGATTAGGCAGTAACCTCTCCCAACTCTAATACAGAACGATGCGCTAGATACAAATAGGGCAACGCTTCAATATCTGATCACGTTTACAAGAACTGCCATTAAATCTGTATGTAGCGCACCGCTGTTTTTTATCTTTGTTGCCCAGAGCCCTTACTATTCCCCTATATAATCACGCATTAATAAAAATCTGTTTGCTACAAGTTTTCTTGGAAATTGTCCTGCAGTGAACAGATAGCGTGATACCCGTTGTAACACTGAGACATACATATCAGGTGCACAAATAAGCACAAACACACACACAGAGCTAAACACGCATTCATTCTACGCACATACACACAGACGCACACAGCCACGAATATACGCACCCATACACACAATGCACACTTAAATGTAGATATATTCATACACGCATATGCCACATAGGTACATAAACGCATTCAAACCAGTACCTACACATACACCCATACACACCGCTATATATATTGCACAACTACATGTTCAGATACGAATACACGCACATATATACTTATTTACGTATCACATCCATATGTATATGCATACACACATATGTACATACACATAAAGATACACACACTTACACACTTACATACATACGTGCAAATCTGCTGTGTGTATCGGTGGTTATGCGGATAACCCCATATTACTGCTGCTATATAAACCATAGCTAGGTATAGTGACAGTTCATTTTTCCTTCCCTACTTTGCCTTCGCCTCTGGGTGTAACTTCATCGCTTCTTCCAATAAATCGCCCTATCCGTCTATCTGTTCCGACAACAAGGCCACACGATAACAGAGAACACAACAGTGGCGATCAGCAGCAAAGAAGAACTTTGTTGTAACGAGTACTGAACAAATTCGACTATTAACCCACTGTTTGTTTATAAGTCTTCACGAGAGCACCAAAAGCGGACTCTCAGTTGAATCTGACTCGAATTATCGCCATTCTTCCTGCCATTATTCTTTTTGCTGACCATTCGATACTACAATGAGTAGTAAAAGTGTTTTCAATGTTCAAGCAATGGAAGAACAAGGAGACGTCATTGTCAACCTCGTGGATCCACTCTCAGGAACTGCACAACCTGACTGCAAACGAACGGAGCTTCAAACCTTCAAACCATGACGGCCATTGAACAACCGTATTGAGAGATCCGTATTCAAACCTGAGCCCGACATGAGCTTTTCCAGATGGTTTGCAATGCACAAAGAAGTATTTTCCGAGGACGCGAAGGATCCCACAGAAAGTAGTTAGGCAGATTACTTCGCGAGAAGCTGGACTCCACGACATTTGTGAGGAACCCGAGGCATATCCTACCAAAAGATACCTCACAAGTTGGATCCGATGAGACGGTAGAAGTATTGAAGCAGTGTGCGGTATTAGAATGTCACTATTCACTACAGATAAGTGGAAGAGTTCCTCGTACAGAGTGAACGATTAGCGACAAGTATAGATAACAAATGATAGGTATTGGTAACGAGACAAAGAAGGCAAGAGCCATTAGGACTGTAACACCTTTCGTGTAAACAACGGAACGTTGACATTTTATTAGGGTAACCGGAAAGTTTTGAGAAAATTCAGCCGATCTTCTCAACACAAAACAACTACAGCAACAAACTTAGAACAGTGACCAAGATAGTGGCCCTTCCTAGCCACCCCCCCCCCCCNCAGGGCATTGATGCCATTACTCCGATATGGAGAGAGGCGTGACGCAATTCAATCATCTACCACCTACCTGTTTTCGACAGCTGGTGAAAGTATTCCCTGTAGAGCACACCTGTGAACGTCTGAAGTTATGGCTGACATACGGATGAGGTCATGTGGAGATGTAGGAAGCGGGGTAGCCAAGTTATACTAAGTCTTCTCCGCCCATTCATCGACGTTCGCGCAGGGTGGTCGTGCATCATCCATCCTAATCCGGAATTTCCTTGTAATCGGTGTGAAATGGGGGCTCGAAACACCGCCTCTCCCACTCGGTAACAGGATTCTCTTGCGTATACCGCAGTACATTCTACTGGGCTCTCATAGTAAAACGCCCGGCTGAGCAGAGGAAGAATGAGCTCATGTCTTTTTTAGCGTGAGCGCCTCGCTTTATGGCCACACACTTGTGACAATGGGGGGCTAACAACGCAATGCCTGGGTGTGAGACCACACGCTGTGGCCTTATTCTCGCTGGTAGGCATTGCGATTTCCTGTGCGGATTTTCATATGACATCTAATTTTTGTGCTGAGCAATAATGAAGTCGGTTGGTGTCATCGTTCGCTTGCAGTCGAGGACCTTCTGACATACACTGACTCGCACTCGAGCTCCTGCCCACTCAAGGAGTGCGCGATATTAGCAGAGACCTGCTTCGAAAGCGGTTTCTGCGCAGAAAGTCGTAAATGAGGGATTACTCCATTTCCGCCGACTTCGAGTATTGCTGTGACGAAAGGCCAGAACAGCACCGATATTGAGGACGTTCGCTCCGACAAACTTCGTCGAAGTAAATCTCTACTCAAAGGAAGCGATCATGTCATTTATGTTAAGTGATGAGAGAGGATCACTGCTGCTCATCAGTCACAATATCTCATTCCAAGAGTTAGCGTCGAAGCAATCAGTTTCGTAATGGTAAAGCAGAAGGTTCCGGCAGCCGTTGATGGCACATCGTTCAAACGACGATTACTTACCTGGAACGACCACGCCGAGTACCGATTAATTATAGTATTGATCTACCAACAATGCCCCTTTCCCTGCTATCGGATCTATAGTCCTTCCCTGGCGCATTCGCGAGTAACATTCTTCCAAAGATGAGAGGCGAAATTTTCTCAAAACGTCTCGGAAGCCCTAATAGTAGGTGATCTAGGAAGTGATGGGACCGTAGGTACTCTGTGAAAGGTATGGATAACAACTGATAAGAGCTGATAAGGCGCCTTAGAGAGTCAGATCCACTTACAAATGAAACCCTGACTCTTCGGTATTTACGATGTAGCTTTGACTAAGTACTCGTGATTGGGACCGATCGAAGGTGCTACATGAGGAGATAATTCGTTCCCTGTCGTTAGATTACGACCGCTCCCCTGCGAGGCTTGTGACTCAATTATGGAACACAGGTTTGCTTTGTTTCGATATCATTTGCGACAAATCTTGTCCGGTCACCACTAATCTGGGATTACGATTAATGATATACTTCTGAAAAAAGGGAGTTCCATTGATAATGGCATCTGATAATGGTGTTATTATAACTCGGCAACATTTGTGAGTAATTCAAAGCTTTGGCTGCCTAGTTGTTGAACTTTGATGAACGATTATTTCCGAGATGAAGAGCAACAGATATAGATATCTCATCATAGGGGTACGAATGGCACACACTGAATACCATTTGCACTGCTTTGCTAGTCCTACGTCAAATTTCGTGGACAGAAAAAGTATCATTCGTTCCTGTAAAGGATTGTCGAGTTAGCCGATTATTTCAACTTTGTCACAAGAAAGGGGGAAGTCCGGCGTGCCGGACGATCCGAGTGGTCAGTTCATAAAAGTGAACGCTCCCAGTTCGCCTCGAATCCCCAACTTTTCATAGAAATCACAGAAGTGCGGAGCAAGTAGGGCCATAATTTTAGTATTCAAACATGTACAATAAGCGAGATAAGCAATGTCAGCGAGCGGGGGAATATTATATGAAAGTTTCGAATCTTACAACTCTCGACAGAAATATTCAAACACAATAGGATTAGAGTAACGTACGTGAACGACTGATGGGCGAACCACTATTATTCGACATTGGTAGCTCTCATTTAGTGGTGGAAATCCGATCTCCAATTCCCCTATCCTTGCGTTTCCATGAACCTCAAGGATGTCTGATCGTCGACACCATGGTATAAAGTGGCGATATTCCTTGACATCGGCAACAACGTCAAACATCTGCTCACGAGAGAAACTGTAAAGGTAATTGTTAATGACTTGACGTTCATTCACGACAAAAGAGCAGTAATTCTCAACTTTTATGGGCATTAACAAACAGCATTAAACGTCTCTGTAACAGAACAATGTCAAAAAGGCAGAACATTCATATGTTTGTGTGATTCTTTTCGTAGCCAGTCACTGATCTAATGTAAAACAGTTGCCTCCAGCAGTTATCCCATTCTACAGGGTGTTCCTCAAATAGAAATCTCCCTATGTCGGTCAACGTTTTCTTCCTACGCCGAGGGACTCAGTAACCACTTCAATCCAACGATTAGCGCAAACTTGCAAGACATTTCCTTCCTTGGTTCAAAGAATCTGCTCTTGCATATCGGGCAACCCTAGGCACTGCCCTTCCCAGAGCGCGCTGGATAACGCTGACCGCAAGCTCATCCGCGCATGCGAAGTTTTAGGCTTACTCGGTAGCTGATGTCACTAGATCAATGTTGCCTGAAAAGCGGAGTTGGTGTAACTGCCGGTCCTCGACCTTCACTAATTGGCCCTCTCTTCACGTAGAAATGGTAGAATAATGGGCTCTGACCATTCTGTAGAGTTCGCGTAGGATTTTTACATAGGGAGCATGAACACATTGAGTGCTTAGGANTCAGATAAAAGTTCTGCTCCGACGGCGTCAAACCATTTTCAAACTGGTAAATGTACGACACAATTGCACTTGGACTTCTCGGGAACCTCATTGAGCACTAAGACTTTGTGAATATGACTGATTATAATCAAAACTTCTGAAATTTGCTTGCTGGCCTGACTGTCATCAGTGCTCAGCCAATCCTGCTGAGAACTCGGGTGAAGAGCTTATAGATTGCGGACAGCTAGGCGGATTGGGCCGCATAACCGATAAAAGTTTTGTGTCCTTCTTTATACAGCAGCACGGGGCTACTGTTCTTTAGATGGAGAATAGAAAACTCGCATGGTTCTACGCATAAGTATCAGTTAGAGACTGCTGAAAGGTGCACTTGATGCATTATGACCTGTTCGCCTTCCTAATACAACCGTTGGGGTAATCGACGAGCTGACGACTTTACTCCCCTTCGATGTGGGCAATAACGGAAATTCATCTTTCCTGACTAAGCTGGGTTGGAAATTCGAGGAAGCAAATAGGTTATGATTTGTACGGCGGCCTCTTCCTTTCACCAGAGCGCTTAAATTAAAAGCAAATGGTGTGATAAGGGTACTACTGCTATCTATCGATATCGACCATGCAGCACCTAACAATATCGGTTTGCAGCAGTCGAATTTTCAAAGCTCACTTCACACGGAGCTAGGGCGTTCAAACTTTCAGAAAACCAAGGTGGGGTTAAAAACAATCAAACGGGATTATTATCGTATAAACTACTAACCATAAGTAGAAAAGTATAATAGCAAACCCTATAAGACGTTTCTCAGAATAAGCCTTTTCGCGATTTGCGAAGAATCGTTTCGTTATCGTCACCCCATTTGTGAAGCATCGACTGCGAATCCGCAAGATCATTCCTAGGTTTTATAAACATAATTGTCAATTCAACCTTTTCACCGATCCAAAGTTTGGGTATAGGGCGCTAGGTGTCTCTGCTGTAGCAACCTCAGTGAATTCGTGCCACCGCACTAACAGAAACTGCCTGACATAACGCTGAGCCCAGGGTTCAAAGAAGTCTTCATTAATTGCGAGTGGCCAGTCAGTCCAGGTAGCGACAGCGACACCTAACGCCCTACATTCTCAATGCTTCGAAGCTCCCAGAACGTTCTCGTACATGTATTTGGTTAACACCAAGTATGTAAATGCAAAAACAACCGAAGGACTGAATAGAGAATTTATGAATAAATCTCATCATATACATTAAACGTTCACGCAGTAAAATATGAAATCTGTATCATGTGTTTATCGCAAGTTCCACGCCATCATCGCCAGCAATGTGCCCATTCGAACTGCTTTCACTGTAGCCGTTGTACGCTGCTTCTACGTACAGATCCCTGTCACCCACCCTGAACAGTCATTTCAGAATAATTAAACAAAAAAAATCCTCAAAGAAAAATTATCGATGTCCGAAAACAAAGAAGTAGGTATAGAGGCAAGTTCAATGTCAATGGCAGCAAAACCTCAACGACCGGGTGTGGTGCGATTCACGCGTCAATATAATGAGGTCATCGGACAAAACGCGCTAAAACATCATGCCTACCATCACAATGGGAGAAATAAGAACTTTTAAGTAACATAAGTAAAAGAATGACAAATTATGCACGTTTGCACGCAGGATTGCGTTTTCTAGGATCAAAAAATCTGAAGTTATTCTTATTTCGAACGTTGGGAAGCAAATTGTTGACCTACGAAGTGAATTCTTAATCTCGAAGGCGTTCCTTTTCCATAGTGAAGAGATTTGCTCTAATCAATGGTGATTCATGGACTACTGCAAATTTATTCGGCCCCTCTCAACAGAAAGGGTACTGAAACTATGCTGCGTGCGCAAAAACTCTAATGGGGTCACGCGTGAGTCCCCCCCCCTCCCCCCTCCCCCCGCAACGACCACCTCCTCAAGTCACGTTAGCCGTAGTTTGATTCGACTCAGGCGTCACATGGGGGGCTCTCCATCTGCTCTATTTGAATGATTCTCCCTATACTCTTGCATATATTTATCACCTACGCAGCGAACACAACACCCAGCCACTATTTCTATTACCCTCGACAGTAACTGCCTTCGTATTTTGCGCAGACTCATGACGAGAAGCATTATTGTCGGGTGTCGAGAACGGTTCAGGCGATACACAACTTCTGTTCCATATCCCGTAATCAAATGGCCACTCCTAGAAATTAACGTTCCTAATGCGCTTCACTACGAAAGTTCTATTTTGCTTCCGTTGCAAACAACCTCATATCCCGTTCCATTCGCTTCGATAACAAGAAAATCTAACGAAATCTCTCACTATTCGAGAATGCCCGTAATATAGGAACCGAAAGGAACAAGATAGCATCCTTCACAAGCAAAGTCGCACCTAGGTGAAGTACCTAGCTATCAATGTTAAAGATTCAATCAGTTACAGTACAGTAGCGATTTCGTAGCCCACCGCTCGAGTTCTGTGTGCAACGACTATGCAAGGTAAGTAGTGACCCAAAGCTAGGTGGAAGTCAATGCAACGAAATCTATATTGTTAAATGGACTCGCACCGCAAATTTAGCAAACAATTCGGCTGTGACTAAGGACATGAGGCTCTCACTAATGTTGACTCACCTTTCATCAGCGAATTGCATCAGTCGCAAGGCCGCAGGAGCCAAAGGAGATATAACTGGTAATCGTTGATGCATGCATTGCTCGTTATGAGACACGCTCAGATCTTTATGCTTACCCATCAAGTGAATAGTTTTACCCTGCAAATTGAAAAAAAAACGAGATTTGTTCTTTCTTGCATTGAAATGATTTTCATTAAACGAGTTGCCTCTTACTTTGACACTGTCCATGCGAACGCCGCAAACGAAACAGAGGTTCCCATACGTAGACTGCAGTCCCAAATCATGATGAGAGTAAGACATGTGCCATGCAAGAACCTAGAATGCTCAACTTTGAAATTCGCCTTCCTTCTGGGAACTGATTACAAAGCAACCTGCACAGAACTGAACACACGACCACACATAGGTACGCAGCAAGTTGTCCTTTCGATGTCACATTCACCGATGAGGCGACGTAACCGCTGTTTTATCAGAGGAACAGCTGTAGACTCATTCTCGAAATCCGATTGCAGAGAACGTTCCTTCTAAATAATTGCAGCTCACAAGGACTCAGAGCAATGAACAAGCCTTCATAACCTTTTCAATAACCACAACCTTTTCCTTCATAAAATTCAAGAAAAAGCTTACATTCGGACGAGTAAAATTAGAAGGTGCATTAGGCTCGAATGATGCCCATAGCCAGCTAATGCTCACAAAAACCCAATCACAGAGGCAGTTTTTGACCACTCAGCGCAACGTTCATCCCATCAAGAAGTTTCGGAGGTATAAATAATTAGTTGATGTAATAGGGATTGTTACCGATTTGCGAAGCTTCTCAGCATATCTTCTTGCCACTTCCGAAACGTAAGCATGAGGTTCATCCCGTCTATGATCCTCGATCACAGCTTGCTGATCTACATTCAAGCCTATCGGAACCTAGAACACCGAATGATGAAAATGCTAAAAAGCATTGTCTAAGAATAAAATTCGAATCACCTCCATACTGGAAGGAACGACATTCACTACTCCGAACACTTCGTCGTTGCCTGACAATCCACCACCTCGAATACAATTGAAGATTATTAGGAACTAAACAAAGTTATGAATGAAACATACTTCGCCTTCTTTTGCGCAAGTTGACACTTCTCGAAGTGGAGGGGGAGAACATGTTATAGCATTCCATGTAAAGTTGAAAGAGAAAAGACCTCTATTGAAGGTGAATACCTTTGGATTATACATTAACTGAAATATCGCTTGGCCGTAGAATGAAACACTTAGTCTGAGACTGTATCGCGTCTGAGGCATTTTATTTTACGGTCAATTTCGCCAGGTCTGAGCGCCCAGGTTGTTTCCGTCGCTCCCGAGTCGGGAAGCACCCGTGAGTACAGGCACGAAAATTCAGTCCGGCACTCGGCTCTTGCAGTAACCCGGCACGTGTTAACACGTAAATTTTTACCCGTCACATATACGACGCGTCGAAAAGAGGCTCTGGGCAAGGACACGGGGGTGGGTAGTACGGTAAGCCAGGGGGTTACTGTAAGAGTCGAGTGCCGGACTGAATCTTCATTTTAGTCCCGTGAGTAGGGGGTGGTTAGCTGCTCAAAAGCAGCAAGGTGTTCTGAAAAGAGCTATGTCAAGTCGAAGGATAAGCTCCATACGTCTCATCAAATCTC